GCTCGCCGGCAGAGCTGCCTCCTCCGCCCCGAGTTCAGGAGGAGCTGGGCCGGGCCGCGCTGGCCACGTTCAATGCCTACGTGAGTTTTTTGCCCGCTTTTCCCTTTCCCCCCCTCCCCTCGCTCCCGGCCCAGTTATCCTTCCCCGAGCGAAACGGTGCCCGGTTAATACCGAAAACTGGATTACCCATGGTCGTCTGCCCACGCCTGCTCTCCCGGGCGAGGGACGATGGCTGTGCCGGGATCTGGAGGAAACGCACACAGTTAGTGGAGAGCCCGCAGCACGGCCCGCCGAGGGCACGAACAACAGCACTGAGAAAACACTTCCTACTCACAGGCCGTTATGAGGAAGGGACTGAAATTCCTGTTTATTTAATGATTTATTACTCTCTTAGGTTGTTTTCTTCCTTTTTTCTTCGCTTGCTTTTTGCCTTTTTTTTTTTTTTTTTTTTTTTTTTTACTTGGCTGGGTTTTGTGGGTTGTTTTTGGTTTTGGTTTTTTTTTTTTTGGTCATCTCACTTTAACATTTTCCTTTGCGTTTTCATATTTCTCTTATATTTTTCTCTAGAAGCGGAGTTTGCGGTATGGCGAAGAATTGCCCCTCGCTTCCCACAGATATAAATTGATAAAGCAGGCAGATTAGAGTAAGCCTCCTTTTTTATATACGTTAGACACTTGGTATGGAGCCAGCTAATTACTTTCCACTACTGAAGCTTCCTTTGGTGATATAGAGAGTATCTTTAAAGGGAAAGAAAAGGCGATTCATATGTATGGAATATTTAAAGAGGGTTTTTCTTGAGCGCCGTTTTGTTGTTTGTTTTCGAAACGAGAGCAAGCACAAAACACCTACGTGCTTGCAGCTCCCGCAGCTTCAAAATGTTGATGCTTTGGATTGAGGAAAATATACCTCTCTGCCCTACGAGTAAACACGCACGTGAGAAAGTATTCGCTTACATTAAACATCAGCGACAACAGAGCAAAATACAAAGCCACCAGCTGCAATTTGAGCAGTATCAGTCTCACCAAGTCAGACAATATTGGCACTATCTTGCGTTTAATTTCTTGATTTAGAAACCGCTTAGGGGAGGAATGGGCGCTGATTGTGAGCAAGATGGTTTCCCAGCCCAAACGGTAGCCACTCTATTTTTCCAGTACTGTTTGAAGGTGAATGTATGCCCAAGTATTTGCACTTCAATTTGGAGTCATGTTCATTTGCAAGCCATTTGCAGTTCTTCTCAGTATTTCTGCTCACACAGGCACTTACCTCTCTCATACACACATACACGCCCTTCCTCGGCTTCCAGTGCAGAGCCCTGCTAATAACAGCTTTCGGCTATGTACAGAAAGGGTTAAGAGTCGTGAACTTCATTATCTGGATGTGTGCTACTAAAATGGAATTCCGCGGAATAAAACGATCTCTGAACAAACAGAAACGGTGCAGGGTGACAAAAGTAGGTCTGAAGAGGCTGGTGTACTTTTGTAAGCACGCTTGGGAGCGTTTCTGCTCAAAAAAGCCAACCTTGCCAGATGTTTGAGGCGATATTTTCCCTTCCACCATCTTCTGAAAGCTCTTGGGCTGACCAAGAACAGAACTCCTTAACATTTACTTATACCCAGCTTCGCATTTGGTATGATTTTTTTTTTTTTTAAGCGAGTAGACACGAAATCAAAGTCTACACATTGTAAGCACGCAGTGACTGGTATTTTTTATATCAACATACGAACGTCAAATAAAATGACACACATATTGCTGACAGCTTGTAGTAGAAAGATATTTTATCACTTACCATTTATGAGTTGATTGGATGAGGATGTCCAGTTTAGGTCATAATATTTTACTATGTTTTTCTTTTTCTCTCTCTGTTTGGTTGTGGTTTTTTTTGTTTTTTTTTTTTTTGCATTTAGTTTGTCAGACTGCGAATATCACACAACATTTTATCAATTAATCAGTTGTTTATAGGCACAAATATAAATGAATTATGTTTACATCATTTCCCGCCCCAGTCTCCACCCCACCCCTAAAAAAAAAAGGAAGGGGAAAAAAGCGGGGGGCGGAGGGGGGGGGAGAGAGAAAGAGAGAGAGAAAACCAGGCAGATACAGATACACACAAAGACCAGAAAATAGCAAAGAAGGTACATCAGTCCAAAGAGCTGCTGATAGAGAAAGATCAGGAGACCAACCTGCATCCGTACTTCACACATTTGTAGAAAACCAAAGGAACGGCAGTAGTTTAAAGAGTTTATTGCATTATACATGCGAACAGAACATGCACAAGAAGGACATATTGCTGCTGAACGACTACTATTCCACATATGCACCACAAGGAAATGTCTACAATGGAGAAGAAGGAAATATTCCATTTTACGAAGGACAATCTCTAAGTTCATTTGCGAGGACAGTTACATTATAATGTGCTTCTCTTTCCCCCCGCCCCCAAAGTTTCTCCCCCCTCCCTCTTTTCTTAAAGTATTGAATGTACTCAAAACGTTATGGCCCGTGTAACAGCCCCACATAAATACCATTTCGTTAGTAAAAACATGAAAAAGTCACATTGCTTGGATGTTCGACAGTTCCAATAAGTTAAGACCAAATGATAATATTCAATAATAGTTACCCTGCATTACGATGAGAACAAAAATAAATTACACGTGCTAGGTTTTATATATACTCATCATAGTAATACATATTCATTTGCAGCGCTAAAAGAAGGACGAAGAGTCACATTCTATCAGAAAAAAAAAAAAAAACAACCAACAAAAAAACCAAACCAAAACAAAACTGGAAAATGCCGGGTTTTGCCAGAGTCTCTCCCGCCTTTAGCAAGTGGCGGTGCTGTGCCCATTCCTTACTGGTGCCCTCCCCGGGGTTAGGGTTTAAGAGAAGGTCAGATTAGCGGTCAGTTCCCGGATTCGGTTCTCCCTGCTCATCTTCTTGAGCTTCATTCTGCGGTTTTGAAACCAAATCTTGACCTGCCTGTCAGTGAGGTTTACGCTCTTACTGATCTCTAGACGGCGCTCTCGAGTGAGATACATATTGAATAAGAACTCTTTCTCTAATTCCAGTGTTTGGTGTTTAGTATAAGGACACCTCTTCTTTCTGCCACTCTTTGCAGTTAGCCAATTGCTTGTTGGAGTATCAGACTTGATTTCCTCTATCAAAATCAAAGAAGAAGAAGAAAAAAATCAAAAATACCTCAGGCTGTTAGAGTGTACCCTTGGCCATGACCCCTCCTCTGCAGTGTCTGGCAGATATGGTGGATGTGGGCATTAAACAGAGCTCTGGCGAGGTGTGGGCACAGAGAGGGGACCTGCTGCCAGGCTGGGCTCGCCCGTCCCCACCACACGGCACCCTGCCTTGCGGCCGCCCGCGCTCCTACCCCTTCCAGAAATGGGCGCTCAAGTTTTCAGCTGGCGTTTAGCATTTCAACAATATTTAGCCTGCCACCAGCCCCATGGCCACATTTTAACGGGTCTAGCCTCGCCATGGCCGCCTCGGACTACCACGACACTTGCTACAAAAACAGCCCAATTGCAAAATACCCTCGCACTGTATTTTGAGGCAGCATACCCCCAGCCACCAGCTGAATTACACAAGCACACCTAGGAGCAGACATAGGCGTTTTACCAACCAAAAAGATATACAAGAAATTAACACACTCTCCCTTGGATGTTTTTTTCATTTTTCATTTTCCTTTTAGATTTTTTTTTCCCCACCAGAAAGAAATCTGCCCCACATCAACCCAGACCTGGGCTGTTAGATACAATTAAAATAAAAAGAATCTCCATGCACACGTAGGGTAAAAACCGACCTAGAGGTTGCAAAGTACATTTTGATAGCAGAAAATTTCCCGTTTTGGGATTCTTCGACACACGCCGTTCGAAAGGAAGGCTTTAGTGCACTTTTAGAGGGAAAATAAAATCAGATTACTACCACCTTTGGCTTTCAAATGCATTTCAAAATACTGTTGCACTTTTGGAGACCAACCCAAGGTTATCTAAAACACCCCATTGAAATATTCCACCTTTGGACCAGGCAGATAGCGGGCTGCTGCTTTCATTGTGCATTTGTTTCCAACTTTACCCAGCCTGATAGAACCTATTTCTCACCTATTTTAATAGGACCGTAATTGTCTTTAAATACAATCAAACCGCAGTGAAAAAAAAAAAAACAAAAAAAAAATCAGCAAAATATTACGAGAGAAAACTTGAGCTGGTCGTATTTTACAACCTCCAGACCTGCTTTTTTAGAGGTATGGGGCTGCTTTTGGCTGCTGCAGCGCATTAAGGAACACACGGCTATATTTCCCGCATCACAGAGGCGGTCTGCATGCACGAGAGAGGCAGATCTCTACAGCAAATCTTTGGACCCTTTTGTGTAGCATTTTTGCCTGCCAAAATCTTCAGAGACACAGCACCTGCAGCCCGATACTCCTTAGCATTAAATGTGATGGCTGTGATGCTCGTTAGTATATTCGAGCGTGCTTTATGGTGCTGGCGTGTTGGAGTTACACCACGGCACGGCTTAAACTCGGTAATACAGACCTTTACTCTCCTTCTCCTGGACTTCTGGGCTGGACACGGAGCCTTCGGGCAGGCAGCTCCGCTCGTCTTGCAACGTGGACTTGGGCTCGGGACTTTCCACTTGAGAGACTTTAGCGGTGCTGTCTTGGTTGTTCGGGTTTTCATTCATTTTCTTTTCCAGCTGAAGTTGAGCAGATATCTGCGGTTTGGAGCTGCCGCGAGGGTTTAACTGTAACATTACAGTTGAACTCGTTTCAGGGCTATTATTGTACTCTTGGGTTTTCCCAGTGGCGTAGGTCTGGCTCAGTCTAAAATATCCTGGGACGGGAACCTCGGGGTTCTCAATGGGGCATGATTCAGACACCAGCCTCTGGTAGGAAGGGACGTCTGCAGAAATGAGTTTGGATCTCTTATCGGAATACATGCAGCAATTGCTTTCTTCTTTAATATTTGTAGTGAAGGAACAAGTGGGGACCTGCTGTGTAACAGGTTGCTCTATTCGACAAGATCTGTTCGGGTCTGTCCAAGTGTCTACTTGAGGTATATAAGGATGTACATTCATACCCATATTTTGGTGATTAACTTCTCTTTTAGCCAGAGACGGAAGGAGTCCACAGGTTTGCATCCCGTACGTCCCAATGTCTGTGCTAGGTGGCATATACATGCTGGCGCTGTTGGAGTAGAAACTGTCACTCCTGCACGCACTGATGAGAGAATCTACTAAAAAAGTATTAGCGGCAGGAGAGCTGTTGGGAAAGGACATTTTGGGGCGGAATTTGAGGAAGAGAGATTGTGTCCTTTGTAGGCTGACATCTCTAGGAAAACATTCCCGTGTAATTGCGGATGCCTCCGCGCGACCACATGACA